GATCTCAACAATTTTTATTGAGCTTGAGGCCGTTTCTAATGGCTCATAATCCCAGTGACCGCGGTGAAGAAGTCTGATGAGGAGATGTGGTGATAGTAGCTATAAATTCTACCCATGGGTAAATTGTTGTTGTTTTTCCACAACAGTTTTTCATTAGAAACGGCCACAAGCTCAATAAAATGTTTTGAATATAATTGTTTAAAGGCCATAAATAACAAAAATTTTAAGATATCAATAAAACTTTATTGAAATAGCTTAATGGTGACAGCATTACGGTTATTCACGCTTGGCTGGTTATCAGCTTATGTGGTTATATTATATTTTTTATTCAGTTTAGAACAATAAAATACACTACGCAATAATAATGTTTACCAAATAAAACTTCATTGTTTTTCCTTGCATTTAGGCGAACGAAGGGTGTTGTGGATTCAGCGGCTAACCTATTTAAAAAAAAAAACGAGTCACTTAAAATAGCGATTCAAGCACAAATGAACTCTGTGAAGGGAAACCAATAAATATACATAAATAAAAATTGCAGTCAAATATTGTTTGAAAAGATATTATATGCAGTATGCATTGGATTTTGACCCCTTACGATGAAAGGATTGCGTGCACTTTATGAGACTTACGTTTTATGTGAAGTCCTGTATTTGTATATTACACGTTTTTATTTTAAAAGTGTATTTTTTTAGATTTTGAGTGCTTATTATATATCTTCACTACACACGAATAAAGGCGTGATAGTGTTTTGACGGCGAAAAAAGGCGCGTAAAAAAATTTTGCGAAAAAAATGCCTCTGAAAAACTTTGGCGAAGTATGTTAAGAGTTTTTGACGCCAAAGTTTTTTATGCGTCTTTTTTCGCCGTCACCCTTCGAGCTCGCGCCTTTATTCGTGTCTAGTGACGATAATTTTTGAAACGTACAAAATTAAAAAATTGCATTAGCGAGTACTTTGACTTTATTGTATTTTCGTAGTAACAGCTATTGGTGACAATAATTTTATAAAATTTTGTAATTTTTAAAATTCTCTGGAATCATGAGAAATGTATGTCTTTGTACAAAGATTCCATGTACCCTTATAACCAATGTCGATGGCACTTCCTTTTGAAACCTCTAATAGACGTTCAAAAATTTGATTCAGTTTGTTCCTCATTATTTCTAAAATAAAATAAAAATAAATAAAAGTATATAACAAATGACTAAGTGATCACCAATTCAAGGTGAAGTAATGGTATTTTCAGAGATAATAGTCGAGAGTTCTGGCTTTAATTTAAGTCAGGAATGTTCTATCACTTCTTGTTTCTTTGCCAGAGCTTCTAAAATATTGCCAAAAATGCGCTTTTTTGAGACTTTAACTTCGTTTTTTTTTCAAAATCTGGCGTCGATGGAAACTTTATGCTTATCGATTCGTAATCAGCACAAAAAAGTCTTTAACATTGGCCATACCAAAATGTTTTTCTATTTTTGTTGGGCTGTGTTATCCATTAAAAATGAGTAACAATTCAGATTTCCGTTTTTTCTGCAGAAATGTTTCCTTATGTTGTCCATAATACCCTTCGCTCCCCTATTTAGTTATAGTTTTGCAAAATATCGATCCATGTGCAGGCAGGGACAGAGAATGAGCACACGCTGGGCTAGATTTTCTCAATATTCATCGCAATCTGGTTCTTAATGTTGACTCGGTAGTAAAAGAATTTTTATCTGTACCTCGGTGAATTGCATGTGAATTTTCTTTGAGTTGTGCTGAATTATATCCACAATTAAATACTATACTATATGCTGAGTATTCCAAAAAAAAAAAAATAACGAGCTTTTATGATTAGACGAAAACATGATTATGTACAGAGCTTCGTTAAAAGACATGTTTTGCACGGCATAAAATATTCATACTTTAGTATGCCGAAACGATTACACTACTACATATTTATAATTAGACGCTTAATGTGCGGATTGCCTTACTTTGTAAAGAAGAAAATGCTTGACGCAGCCAGCAAACAAACTTTCAAAAAACAACGGCGTTTTGTAAACACTTAAATTAGAAAATTTCCGTTGTGCGACTTTATCGAATTTTTGTGCAAAGTTATAAATTTTGATTTACATGGCTTTTGTTAGACCGTATCAATTTGTGACGGAATGTACCATAGGCAGGCAAAAAAATACTAAACAATGCTCGTATTGTAAAAAATGTTTTTTTTCGAAGTGGAATTTTTCGCAGTAATATACAGCGTTTTGTATGAAATAAGATGCGAGCCTTGTGCATACATAATACTAACTGTGCGTCGGCTTGAAAACGATTAATTTTCATATACATATTTGGATAGTAAAATACTTAACACAATTTTATTTCAATGAAATGTGAATTATGAGTAATCGATTTTTGACATGATTTCTAAGCGAACGTCGCGCCATGGAAGCCACGAAAATGGTTCGTGATTTTTATATGTACTTAAATATGTAAAGAAATCGAAATCAACTACTTGTGAATACATAGCTGATGGTAATAGTAGGCCCTTGTTAAAATTATTATCAAAGTAAGGCTGGACAAAAAATAAGTGATCTTGCATTTAATGCAGTGCTGAGGCGAACGGAAGAGTTTTCACTTTGGCCAGGAACTATGATTGGAAAATTATCAATCTTTGATCATAACTAGTAAGAAACCCACTTTCGGTTTGAATTAAGGTTTGAAGACAGCTTTATTATGTGGATTATTTTTAATATTTACTTATTTATTAAATGGGTGTTTTGCTATTAGATATATATATATTTTTGTATAAGAAAAATCTTCAACGCTTAGTTTGGTACTAAAAATTAGATAGATACTGAATTGGCTTTAAATTATATTTGTCGATGTGGTTTAATTCCAGCCAGCATGTGAACGAGTTAAGGGAGTCATAAAGGCCTATGCCGAATTTCCACTATGGATTGAAATTACGAAAAATGTGTGCCATTAAAAAAAATGTGGAAATGCTTTTAATGACAATTATTCTTAACGTAATAGCAAAGGTATTTGTTAATGCCCAATTTTGTCAATAAAATGTGTGCCATTTAATGCCTAGCGGAAATTCTGCAGTATTTTCAATATTCCAAATATTTTTTCCTAAATTCACTGTGAAATTTGAGAAGATGGACCCAGTCGGAAGACTTTTAACATATCTATGCGCAGGTCGAAAATGTAGCAGGGAATCGAAACGAGCAGTGCATGGAACTGGATATTTATCACCCAACTGTCCTGCCGGACCACTGCAGTATGTTCCTACCAGAAGGTTATGCTGTGAAGAAACAGCAGCTCCATTATATAAACCCACGTAGATAGTCAAGGCAATCAGTTCATACTACTTCTAAAAATATGCTAGGGAGCAGCGAAGCGATAAATAAGGTAGCCGCAATTAGGACACTGCATAACTACAGGCTGTAGGATCATAAAGGCGCTGCATGAGAAAGAAATAGTAGATGAGATCGCCAGAAGCTTAATTCACTTAGCCTCCGTACAAGAAAACTACAAGTACTTATATAAATCTATAAAATATTCTTTCAATGGGATAGAGCAGCAAGCTAGGGGCAGCAAAAGACGAGGTGTAATGCTTTAACGCCTGAAAAATTGCCAGAGTAATGTGCAAAATGTGACGAAAATGTGAAAAACCAATTCAAACTATCGCTGTCGCGATGATTTTATTAATAAAATGTTTCTCATTTTTATACCCGAGCGCACTTGTGCACAAAGGTATATTAATTTTGTTCACATAACGGTTGTTTGTAACAGCCAAAACGAATCGAGATAGATATAGACAAATGTATACATAAATGATCAGAATGAATAGAGAAGTCGATTAAGCCATGCCTGTCTGTCCGTCTGTCCGTCCGTCCGTGTACACGATAACTCGAGCAAAAATTGAGATATCTCAACGAAATTAGGTGTGTAGGTTTCCATTTATCCAAGGTAGGTTGGTATTGAAAGTGGGCGAAATCGGACTGTAACCACGCCCACTTCCCATATAACCGTAATTATCAGAAATACGAAAACTGCGATATTTTAGTAACTACTGGAGATTATCCACTCAAAATTGATATTTATAGCAAGTTTTAGATGGCCGAAAATTTTTAAAATCGGACAATAACCACGCCCACATCCCATAATACAAAATCTTCGATAAATCAGTAAATATTAAAGCAAATTTATTCAAAATTGATGCTTGCAACAATTCTTAACCAAGAAATACGTTTGTGATAAAATTTTGGAAAATGGGCGTGGCAGCGCCCACTTACGATCACATATATGTATGTATCTCGGTAACCGTTCTACCAATTTGTATACAAACTCGGTATGGTTATTGTGCTTGCCACATAAAAGCAAAACGTTGAAAATTATTGAAATCGGACTAAAATTGAGGCCGCTTTTCATATAACGGTAAATTTCAGAACTGCTTGAAACTTAAAAATTTCGATATTTAAGGACTCTAATTTACTCAAAATTGATACGCCCCGGCTTACCATGTAGCGGTAGCATTCGGAAAAGTGAAAGTCATATATTAAATACTTGCGCCGGGTATTTAATGTTCGGCTCCGCCCGAACTTAGACTTTCTTACTTGTTAATATAAATATGCATGTAACTGCTTTCTTATCTCGGGTTTTCCTTTCAGATTGCTTCAAAATTGTTAATCCATTTAATTAAAAGTAATTAAAATTTTGTATTTGTTTGTGTGCAACGAATTTTGCCTAGCTGTCAGCGCAGCGAAGCGTTCAAATTGGGTAAATTTATTTATTGTCTGTTAAATGGGAATTAATTTATTAGATTGTCTGATGCTTGATACCAGCCGACCTTTTAAGATTATTATTCGGCTGTTGGTTTAAGGACAAATAAGCCTAAGAGTCTTACATTGTTATGCAAGTAAATTGCCTCTCAAAGCAGACTTATTTTCAAAAGAGTCACCCAATTTCTGCTTTGAGGCAATGCGACATCGAGGGGGTGCAGTTAGTAATTTTTCGAAATAACTGTACCTACCCAATTTCGTTGCTCCTGCGTTGCGCTTAATCCAAAAGAAGAAGAGAGTGCAGTTGTTTTCCAAACTCGAAAGGCGTGAATTTCACTTGTCGAACACAGAACTATATAGATTTAACACAAAAATAGGTTTAGTTATGTATACATACACACAATTTCACACACAAACACAATTTTAAATTTCCCTGTNTTATTGTCTGTTAAATGGGAATTAATTTATTAGATTGTCTGATGCTTGATGCCAGCCGACCTTTTAAGATTATTATTCGGCTGTTGGTTTAAGGACAAATAAGCCTAAGAGTCTTACATTGTTATGCAAGTAAATTGCCTTTCTCAAAGCAGACTAATTTTCAAAAGAGTCACCCAATTTCTGCTTTGAGGCAATGCGACATCGAGGGGGTGAAATAAATTAATCCTCTGACTATACCTACCCAATTTCGTTGCTCCTGCGTTGCGCTTAATCCAAAAGAAGAAGAGAGTGCAGTTGTTTCCCAAACTCGAAAGGCGTGAATTTCACTTGTCGAACACAAAACTGTATAGATTTAACACAAGAATAGGTTTAGTTATGTATACATACACACAATTTTACACACAAACACAATTATAAATTTTAAACCGACATACATACATATGTACGCGATAAAACAACACAATAAATAAATAGTCAATGGTCACAGCGGCGGCGGCAGCGCGGCAAGTCAATTCGATTTAAATGATAGTGGACGTTATTTATTTTGAAATTCAAGTACACAGGCTAGCAGCTAGCAACAAAAACAAACTGACTTAATGAATGCCGCTGGAGAACGTGTTGCACGCGTACGATTGGCTGTAATGACGAAACGTGCTGTGACTCAAATCAATTTAAATTTCGATTGTACAATTTCTAAGGATTATGAAATCTTCGATTGCCGGATTTTCCGCCAAAACAAAACACACTTACACACACGCTATCCGCGCTCGTGGCAAATCAGAAATACTTTCTGTAATACAAATTGAATTGAATTACCTAAACTAAAATGATTTTTATTTATTCGATGCGCGTCGAGCGATTGGATTTAGTGATTTAAAATCGCGGCGGACAGAAAACGCGTGTCTAAATAGTTACTGAGGCTTGCTTTGCGTTGTGTTGCTATTCTATTTATTAGGTAAAATTCTGCTTCTGGCTGCGACCAAAGCAACAGGCTGACGGCGTATGAGCAACTCAGGATGGATTGCGGACTGCTGCTGGATTTTATATTCCGTTGGACGTGCGACAATAGCGGTAATGGCAGCGGGCGAGACCAGCGCGAAGGCAGCCGAGCTGTTCGCACACAGGACATCGTGTTGCTTCGCATCATCTGTTCGCTAGCGACGGTTTTGTTGTACGCGCGATTGTGTGGGTGTGGGGATGGTGCCGCTTTGGCCGCTTGANTCCGTTGGACGTGCGACAATAGCGGTAATGGCAGCGGGCGAGACCAGCGCGAAGGCAGCCGAGCTGTTCGCACACAGGACATCGTGTTGGCTCGCATCATCTGTTCGCTAGCGACGGTTTTGTTGTACGCGCGAATGTGTGGGTGTGGGGATGGTGCCGCGTTGGCCGCTTGGTTTTACCGCCACGGCTGTTGGCTGTTGCCGTACGGGAGCATGCGTACACACCTGCCATTCTAGTCACTAGCATTCATTAACCTTAACCAACTTGGTTAAGAGATAAATTGGGGACTACAGCAGACTGTTGCATGCAACGGTGGCAAAGTACAGTGGAATTCCAATTTGAAAAACTTTACGCAGGTAATATTTTGCTTTTTTTTCTTCGTTCTGAAATGGCCCGCTGTTAAAAGCGGCCAGGAAGAGTGCGCTTTGTGGGGAAATGACGGCGATGATGTGGCCGTGTAGCGGTGAAATGAGTGATAATGCGCTTACTACAATTTAATTTGTATTCGCATCCGCNTTTTACCGCCACGGCTGTTGGCTGTTGCCGTACGGGAGCATGCGTACACACCTGCCATTCTAGTCACTAGCATTCATTAACCTTAACCAACTTGGTTAAGAGATAAATTGGGGACTACAGCAGACTGTTGCATGCAACGGTGGCAAAGTACAGTGGAATTCCAATTTGAAAAACTTTTCGCAGCTAATATTTTGCTTTTTTTCTTCGTTCTGAAATGGCGCGCTGTTAAAAGCGGCCAGGAAGAATGCGCTTTGTGGGGAAATGACGGCGATGATGTGGCCGTGTAGCGGTGAAATGAGTGATAATGCGCTTACTACAATTTAATTTGTATTCGCATCCGCAATTGGATAGCCAAATGAGCGTTAAAAAGTGGTGCGAAGCAATTAAAACCAGGTTTCACTTTTTTAATGAGCGCCTCAGAAACAATTAACCCCTGTCATATGGAGATTCATATGTGCGCAGTTCCATCAATGTGTTGATCCATTGATGATAACTGACATTTTCGATTATCGCTTGCACCTATACATACATACCTACATTTTGTTTAATTTATTATTAAAAATTTTAATTTGTTCTCACTTTGCCTTTCACTGTCAGCCCAGCAATTTAGCAGCTTAACTTTCATTTTTCATGCACAATTAACCATCCCCTTCCCCTACTCACCACCCGCGCACTAAACTTTGTCGTCACAATGCATTGAATGTTGCTCATACGCCCTGTTGGCCAGTCAGACCGTTGCCAATCGCTCAACTGCTCGCTGCTACGTAGAAATCGGCAATATTGCGGCGAGTTTTTAATTACGTTGCTGTCAGCTAGAATTTCGTCATTTCTCTTCGCATATTTAACGCTTCATCAGAGAGCAATTCTTGCTTTATGGCAGTTGTGACATTAATAACCAAAAGCTGCCAGAAATCGTTTATGTATTTTGTTAAAGAATTACTGTCGCCTATGATGACGGCGAATATTTACTTAAATACATACATATGTACATATGTACGCACAATAAGCAGTAGACGCTATTAAAATCTTTACACTATTTGTAACACTATTTAATTGTACAAGTATAAGTAATTAGAATGATTTTACGAATTTCGGTACAAGCTAAAAGTCAAAACTGATGATTGCTGGACAATTAGGCGCAAACATCCACTGAGATTCCGTCTGCAATTTAATAAAGGACTAATGATGGACCTTAAATAGTGTAAGTAAAAAAGTAGAATTCATTGTACTGCTCCTTTGTTTAATAAGATCTTAAATGGCTGATAAAAAGATAATTACTACTAAATTTTTTTTAGCAGACAGTAATTACTTTAAAATTGTTATGGTAACTTTTACTTTATCGATACCTCAAACTTGTCAACTTGACCGAACTCGATGTGATTTTTAAGTGAGTGCACCTATGTAACTCTCATAGGTCGTCGAAAGAAGAGTTCAGTCAGATTGGAATTCAACACTGAAGACCTCATTCGGGAGACACAAGTTGCATCAAATGAAATCTTATGACCCCCTTATTAACGTGTTAATTTTTTTAAAATTTTTGAGTTTTTGAAAAATTTTTACTTTTTCAATAGGAAAGGATTTTTGACTTGAAACCTTTTAAAAACGCATAATTAAATCGTGGGATAGATGAAAAAAATACATATGTACTAAATATCAAGAAATAGACAGATAAATAAGTCCAAAGAGGTAAAAATTAAGTATTAAAAGCTAATGACAAAGAAATTAAACAAGTTAAAAACAAGAACGTGGGTTGTTGCCAGATCGGTGGGAAAGAAAAATAAACGTGCACCGATGTTGCAATGATCGTTTAAGATAACGAAAATAGATAATTTGAAAATACACAATTTATTATGTTATCAAATATTTTAAATATACCGGGTGTCTTAGACCACCCGTTCACCCCCTCTAAAATGGAGGGAAATGCTTTTGTTGAAAAACGCTAAAATATGATCTACAAAATCAGGGATGCTCTATCTTTTTTACAAGCTTTTATTTAACTTAACTTGTATGTATGTATGTNTGCTCTATCTTTTTTACAAGCTTTTATTTAACTTAACTTGTATGTATGTACATATGTATCTTTGTATGTCGNATAGACAGATAAATAAGTCCAAAGAGGTAAAAATTAAGTATTAAAAGCTAATGACAAAGAAATTAAACAAGTTAAAAACAAGAACGTGGGTTGTTGCCAGATCGGTGGGAAAGAAAAATAAACGTGCACCGATGTTGCAATGATCGTTTAAGATAACGAAAATAGATAATTTGAAAATACACAATTTATTATGTTATCAAATATTTTAAATATACCGGGTGTCTTAGACCACCCGTTCACCCCCTCTAAAATGGAGGGAAATGCTTTTGTTGAAAAACGCTAAAATATGATCTACAAAATCAGGGATGCTCTATCTTTTTTACAAGCTTTTATTTAACTTAACTTGTATGTATGTATGTATGTATGTATCTTTGTATGTCCTGGAACTTTGCAGTCAATATTTAACAAACTTCCCGATGAGCTACAGACTTGAAACTTCAAACTTAGCTCAGTACTCGAGGACAATGCAATATAAAAGATGACTTAGTCCGCTAGGTGGCGCAGGAGTCGAGATATTTTTAAAACCCGCATTTATAGTCTGATCTGGTTCATATTTAGAACATATAATACTTGCGTGAAAAGAAATAAATCCGCAAAAAATTTTGCTGATAGGTGGCGCAGGAGTCGAGATATTTGGAAAACCCGTATTTATGATCCGATTATGTTCACATTTCGAAAATGCATATTGCTTACATGAAAAGAAATAATTACACAAAAAAATTTGGCAGTTATGTGGCGCGCGAGTCTGTATAATTAAAAAATCGGCATCTGTGCTCCGATTTGGTTTATATTCAGAATATGTGTATTACCTATTTAATTGAAATACATTGAAAATTTTGTTTGTTAAGGTCAAATCTAGCACGTTAGGTAAAAAGTGTAGCTAAAAATCAGGGTGCGGAAAATTTTCTTCGCATTGAAAGAAATGAACAGAATGAGAAATATACAGACAGTATAATATTAATTACAAGATTTCAAAAAACTGAAAAGTAGAAAACAAAATTATAGTTTTATCACAACAAGAACTAAATAGTATAAAATAATTTATAGATATAGCGATTCCGTTTAAGAAGAATAGGAAGTTCCCTAACTTGATTTAATTTAACTTTTTCAAATTAGCTAAAAATAGGATTAAAGTGATTGGCCGTAGTCATAGTCGAAATAAAGTCCACTGTAAAGTTTAACGGAAACCTACATACCAAATTTCGTTGAGATATCTCAATTTTTGCTCGAGTTATCGTGTACACGGGCAGACGGACAGACGGACGGACAGACAGACATGGCTTAATCGATTTCTCTATTCATTCTGAGCATTTATGTATACGTTTTTCTATATCTATCTCGATTCGTTTTGGCTGTTACAAACAACCGTTATGTGAACAAGTTATAATACCCTTGTGAACAAGTGCGCTCGGATATAATAATCTTCAAGTCGGGATGCTCTATCTTTTGGTCGTATTATCGACTTCCGGTTTCGCCCGGATGTGGATTTTAATAAGACCTACATGTTTTTACCACAGATTCGGATTCTGCGGGCAAAAATACATAACTTTTGACGGAAAGCTTTTTCTGGAATGGTCCGGTCGAAATTGGAATCGGTATTACCTCCAGAAGATGGGGCTACCGTGATTTAGTAGGCTATATTTAACGTTTTCCCATTAAAACAATTTCCCTCCATTTTAGAGGGGCGGACGGGTGGTTTATAATACGCTTTATATGTTGATTTCGGTTCCGTGAGCTTTCAATTGGACTTTTATTGGAATGAGAATGGTTAAAGTAAGTCTTTTTAGGAAAATTTCCTGAAGAAGATAATAAAGGTAGCGAAAAATGATACCTATATATACCTATTGATTGCTGATCAGAGCCGAGGGTACTAAAATAATTTAGGATTTGTATGCAATACGGTCGTATCCCCAATCTATTGCGGATCAATAATAGTCCCTTTCTAATAGTACCCTAGGGGCTATTGACTGGTCAGTTCTCGTCGCACAAATACCTGTATCTGATAGGCATATATGACAACTTCATTTGGCCTTTCTGAATGGAAGAGGATGATGCGGCGGAATAATTTTTGTGCTTTTGCCCGCCCTTGAAAGGATTAGGTATGAGGCTTTTGGCAAGGATGTGTAGAGAGGCGAACACCTGAGCTCTTTAACTCCCACTAATCTG